CCGGCAGGAGGCCGTCGCGGAGGTGACTATGGCCAAAAGCTATGTGCTGGCAAGAACAGCGCTGGCTGGCACCGTCCTCCTGCAGAGAGAAGTCCTGCACTCGCAGCCCCGGTGCCTGGGGGGAGCTCAGCGCCTTCCCCTCCCTGCACACCCCAGGGACGCGTGCTCACCCTCCAGCTTGCTCCCCGCGTTCTCCTGTTGCTTCTCCTCGGTGTTTTGGGTCTCCCTCGGCTCCAGCTGATCCACTCTGTCCGGGAGAGGCAGCTCCTGCTTTTCACCTGCGGACGAACAGACCTTTGCAGTCAGTAAGGACACTCCAGCAGCAAACGTTCACTAAAATGACTCCACATCGTGTTGTCCCTCCCTGCCTAAGCCGGCACAGTTTACATTCAACCCAATGACTGCAAGGGAAGTAATAAAAAAAAAATATTTAACAATCTTATAGACTCGTGGCAGCGAGCCAGCGCTAACTACCTCAGCCAATTAAAATGCAAGAATGGTTCTAACTAGCTTTTAGACGGGCACTTAGCAATGTGTTACCTGTCAAGATCTCCCGGCTCCGTGTCCCCAGTGAGTACAGAGACGCACAGGAACAGCATGGCACCTGACATTTAGCAGGCTAGCAAACAACTGTTTGACAGATATTATAGTAGCTGTCAAAGCCACCAGATTCCTCCTTTCCCCCAACAGCTGCTGAAGGGGCTGTGCACGCTCACATGCTAATCTCGTGAAATTAAACGGAAGCACTGGGATGTAGGTCGGAATAACCAAATTGCCTCGCCGCCGGGGCGGATTACAGGCCAAGAGGGGAGTTTGTACGGATGAGACGCCATGGGGGAAGCTTACCAGGGTCGCCATCCTTCTCCATGGACTTTGCAGCCTCCTCTGCTTTCCTGGCGAGCTGGAGCTTTGATTTCTCCCTCTCACCTGCAGCCTCAGCTTTCTTCTCACCGTCCGGCATGGCAGCTTGCGCCTTGGCTTCCAGCAGTTGTTTGTCTGGCTCCAGCTCTTTGTATGGCGGCCTGCCATCCTGCTGCACGATCACCTCCAGGACGTTCTTTGGATTCTTAACGGGCTCGTCAGTCCCTCCCCGCAGTTGGTTCTCAGCGATCGCTTCCTTCCCTTGTTTTGGGCCAAGTGCCTCTTTCTGGGGATTCAGCGCGGCTGGCTCCTCCAGCACTGGCTTGAGCAGACGATCGTCGGCTCCTCCGGGCGCAAGCTTGTTCTCATCAGATTCCTCCCGCTCCCGCCCCATGTCCACGACCACTTCATCGTGCGGGACGGGCGGCTCGTGGCGATGCGCTTCCCCCACAGGCAGGGCAATCCCTAGGGCGAACGACAGGCGGGGTTAGGGGGCTCGAGACTGCAACAGGCAGCAGGTTCACAGCACACCCAGCTACCCGCTGCCCTTCTGCAGCTCTACCTTTGCTTTCTCATCAGGAGGCTGCATTCCTAACGAGCCTCGAGAGCATTGAATACTAAATCACCTTCTGTCCACGAGGTAACGAGCAGATATCAGGATCTCTATCCGAAATACTCCTGCAACGTACGCCTCCCAGCTCCAAAACTGGCACCCTTTCCCCAGGTTCCTCATTACCTTGATCAGGACGGTCAAGCTGCACTTTCTCCTCCGGCTTTCCCCTCTCCTCCTCTCTCTTGGGTACCTCCATGGGCACCTTGATCTGTGGCTGCTCCATCTCCTCCTTCTCGTCCAGCAGCTTCGGTTTATCACGGTCATCCTCCGCCTCCTCCACCGCCGGGTTCTGGTCTGCAAAGGAAGGCCAGTTAATTGCAGGAGCTTACGCACGGCTGCACCGTCAGTCCACCGGCAGGATCAAGGCAATTGCTTTGGGTGCTGCAAACCCCTTTACCGACAGGAGCCGAGCAGCTCTTTTCCCTCCAGCATCAGTACGGAGGGATTGCAGCTTTTGTTCTGGGCTTGCCTGTTTGTTTTCCCTGCAGTGGTTTTTTATGGAGCTGCCGGCACAGGCGGCCAGGCCAGGCAGCGAGGCAGGGCCGGGATGGAGCCGGCTGCTGCTGCGAGCCCATGCCGCCAGATGGTAGCATCCTCCCGGCTCCCCCGCACCAGACCCCCCAGCACCCGGAGAACCGAGCAGGGGCCCCCCGTCGCCCTCCTGCTCCCACCTGCACTGGCCGCACACCGCAACGTAGCTCAAAACCTCTGCTATTTATTTTTTTTCCTCTCCTTTTTGCGCCCGAGCGTTTCCCCAGCCCTTCGAACGCCACAAGGAGGACGGCTGGGAGGGAGGGGGGAGAGCTGCGTGACCCCGCAGGAGGCACAGGGTTTTAAGGAGCACGGTTACACGGGCATGGGGGGACCCTCCCCATCTCCCCCTGGAAGAGACGGGATGTTTACGTAAGTGCATCCCAGTCAGACCAGTCACAGGGCTCAGTGCTGGAGTAACCACGTGGAATTGGTGGTTACACCCCTCCGACCCCAGGGTGGCAGAGGCCGACCCACACAGCGCAAACAGGGAGCGAACTCTTCCTTAGAAGAGCAGCAGAGGAGGAAATCTAATTGTTTCCCAGCACTGGAGCTATTCTGCAGATTTTTTTCCATCCAACAAACTCTAGAAAAAAAAAAAAATCTATCTTCTGTAACAAAAAAAAAAAAAATTCCCAACTCTTCCCCCCATTTGCCCTCCCCCATGCGATTTCCTTTGGGGAATTAATTCTATAAACATCTTTCAATTTTCTCCTCCCCCTCCGCAGGGCTGGTGCGATTTATTACAAGATGAACTCATGGGAAAGGAGAGATTGCCACAACTTCAGCTGCGTGGGCCTTACCCAAGATGGGGGACAAAAAAGAAAAAAAAAAGAAAAAAAAACAAAAAACACCAAAATAAGTACAAAATCCTGGCCCAGAGGGATCCGTGCCAGAAGGACCCAGCGCCTCTCCAGAAACCTGGACTCTCTGGCCCAGAGCTCCGCACCCAGTCGAAGGGACGTGCGCCAGGGCTGGCCGGCTTTCAAAGATGCTTTGGTTAGGGAATGATAGTGGGAGGGGAAAAAGGACCTGGATTTTCTGAGAAATTCGAGTCCGGTACCCAAGGGTCCCTTCTCTCCATTGAGGGACTTCCCAGGGTTCAGCAAGTCAGGGCAGGACGCTCCTCCTTTCAGGAAAAAATGGACTGCAGGAACCAGTGCCCAGCCCTGGACGGGGGCCCTGGGAAGCAGGAGGCTGAGGCCGGGGAGGGGAGCGCTCGGCACGGCTGCGGATGTTCCCAGCTAAATTCTGGCCTCGCAGCAAAAAATTATTTACTCTATTGGAGGAAAAGTTTCTCGTTAATTGGTTCATGAAGCCGGGAGATGGCTGCAGTCGGAGGAGACTGCGGCGCATCTGAAACCAGAGGATGCAGAGAACCGCAACCCAAGCAGAGCCGTTCCCACGGCCGAAGGGAGCGATGACCCGAGGCAGCCGTGCAGCGAGATGGTGTTTGAGAGAGGAAATAAAAAGGAAGGGGGGCAGCCATGCAGCGAGATGGTGTTTGAGAGAGGAAATAAAAAGGAAAGGGAGCGGGGAAGCTTTCTATATGAGCGGGAAATGGAGGAGTTAACACCAGAACTACCCCTGCGCGCAGGGCAGGGTTTGGCCAGGGGACCCTTCAGCAGGTGAACCCCCCCCCCCCACCCCCCCCCTCACCGAGAAAAAAAACTCAAGCCCACAACCGAGGGGCGGGGGGAGGCCCCGCTGCTGGGAGAAGCGTCAATCGTAAATCAAGAGGTGGCCGCATGCTCCGTGTTCTGCAAACAATGCAAGAAAAGACCAAAACACAAACAAAACACAAACAAAAATAAAAGTCTCCACGCCGT